TAGCTAAGTGATACAAAGTGCCCTGAAGAAATGTCAGGGTTTCTCCAAGTGACTTGGTGACACCAGGTGGGAGGAATCTCTTGCCAAGAGACATGATGGCATGTCAGAGTGTCAGCAAGAATCAGTAGAAGCAAAGAACCTCTAAGACTGCTGAAAGGTCAGATTGCGTCAACAACTTTGGAATAACAGAAACAAGTGTACACCACCATGGTGTAGCTATTATTTGTCAATGCATAAATTACCAAAGGCAACAATTGATAGAAGATTGATAATTCTCAGTATTGAGAGGAAGTTTGAAAGATAACTCCATTAATGCCTGAATTTCATTCAGGTTACAGAGCCATGTTAACTGCTACGCTTCATTCACTGGACATTGAGAAAAAAGATGTAAGACAGTCTGCAACAGTTCTGCAAGAAAGTCTTTTGTATCTTATAATTTACTGCTCCTTAATTATCCTTAATTATCCATTGAGATCAATAATTGAGCATGTTGGAAACAACAGCATGAAAGCAAGTTATACCTTTTCTAAACTTCTAGGGTCCAAAGGGTGAATGATTATGTGTATTACATGTACATGTCTAGACTTTCTTCAGGTAACTGATACTTAAACACTATATTAAAACAATCAGAAATTATGGTTATCTGATTTATATTAAGAATGGAATAGCATATGACATAATTTTATGGGTTTATGTGCATCAATCACAAAATCAGATGTGAGGGTTTGGCATTAAAAAAGGTGTGATTGGTGCACATAAACCTATACAATTATTAGAAAATACATGGCAGGATTTCAAGCAACAAGACCTTTAGACTTGAGATCTCTCTAGTTCTGCAGTTCTCAGTTTTTCTAGAGAACACCTTTGGGTCTGTAATAAAAACCAGCTGAGTACAGAGACCAGTCTTATAGCAATACTTAAGATAACCTTTTTACTTTCTGATTTCAAACCTACTTATTTATTTTTACAGAACTATTATTTTCCCCTTAATTTTCTGAGGATTCCATTTTGCACCTGCTTTTTATGATGCCTTCAGTCCTCCTTAACTTCCTTTTCCCTTTCTCCACCATCCCCACTCCTCTCTGAAGTACAATGTTTGACTTGGAAGGTCTCCTAATGACTTTAAGGACTAGAACAGCAAAAGGGAAAGTGAATGATTTAAAGAAGTGTAGGAATACACCCTTTCAGAGCCAAGAGCAGCACGTAGGCAAGGATGGAAAAAAAAACAGTGACTGTGCAAAGGTACCTCAAATAGTAGTCCACTTAGCAAAACAGATGTGGAGATTTGTCACTGATCTTTGCAGGTGCTCTGAACTTTTTTGAAAAAACATTCATACCAAAACAAGTGTGTGCCAGTTTCAGTCCCTGAACATGAGTTCTTCTCAGGCTGAAAGGGATGAATTTTTTTGTTAATATTGTATCTATATGGCCTTTTGAAGGCATCAGGTGCTACTGAAGTATTATTATATTCAAATAACAAAATTAAATCTTGAAGCATCAAACATTTAACCCTCTCTTATCCAGAGAAACACACAAATACAGTACTGTTCTAATAAATCCTTAATTTTACAGATTTCCTGCTGAAGTTTCTGACTAATGGTAAGTTATTTGTTCAGAAAGATTTTATGATGCTCATAAAAATTCAATCAGAGTTTTAAAATAACTTGTAGTTTTTCTGTAACATGATGCTGCCATCTCAGTTCCCAGAGGGTATATTAAATTCAAGTAGCAATAACAAATCATTTAAGCAATAAATAAATAACCTGAGACTGAGTTGTTAAGAGTTAATAGTCTCCCATACACTCAATAGAGACTGAGGCTCCACTCTATTAAAGTGACCCCCGGGGCCATGGGCCAAATTGCACCCAGTTGTTTTGTGGAAGGTATTCATCCCTCACACATTCATTTCCTTCTTTATGTTGTCTCCTTTCATCAGTGAAGGCACTCTGCAGTTCCTGAGTCCAGAGAACAATTACGGTACAGTCTCAGAGAAAAGAAAGAAAACTGGGGTCATAAATATGTTAAATGGGTACGTGGGTTTAAGTGGCTTTGTAAACTAAACACGAGGGAAACCTCAGACTAATTAATGAATATGAAGCGGCATGATAGGAATGTTTTAAGGGGAAATTCACATTACACACACACACACAAACCTAAAAACATTTTTTTTTCTTCCAGTCTAAAAATTTGTTCCAGCAGGACAGTCATGACACATGCTTGTGTTTTACTGAAATGGTATCCGGGTAGAAACTGACTGCAGAGATAGCTGAGCTGATAATTCATTCTCATCATCTTATTGGGAACTAAATTCTTTCCTCCAGAAAGATCAGGCATTTATCATGATAGTCTAGCTATGTGAAAAAAAGGCAGGAAGATTTATGGCTCAAGCCCAAATCACCATTTAACTTCACCTTGTATGTCAATTCGTGACCTGACTTACACTCACTGCTAAAATAAACATGGATTCATTGAGTGCCAGTGGTATCAGAATTAGATCCTATTATAAAAATAACATTATAGGCCCCAAACAGCAGTATCCTTTCAATTCTTGCAGTGGGACAATTTTTGCTCTCAGGGTCTTCTCATGTGCAAAAGCCAGCAGGAGGCAGAAGAAGGGCAAGAGCATCTATGGGCTTTCTCTTACTAAGAGTGCTTTCCCATATTTCTATCAGTCCAAATTCTGGGGAACTTTGTTCCTGAGATCTACTACAGCTTCTGCTTCCAGCCTCCAGTGCTGTCTCCAGGTCCACAGCTTGCATCAAAATGCTAGTTGATTTCTGTGGGGAGTTCTCTGTGTCTGATTTTTGGAAAAACAAAAAACAAACCCAATATGTTAGAAAGCAAAATTATTTGTTTTAGCTGAAATCAAACTCTCTATAGGAAAAGACCAAAATATAGAGGAGTATTTTTTCACCAAAAATCCTGAAGAGGGTTGATAGTTCTATGCAGATTTTTTCATATACAGTGTAATGACCTCATAGTCAGTGCAATTCAGGGTGGTGTTGCCAGCAGCACAGTAGAACTGGAGGTCCATGCTGTCTTTGCCTTTTCCAGACACCCCTCAGGATACTGCTCACTTGGATTGATGCTGTCTCTGTGCCTGCTGCCAAATCCCTGGTTACCTTAGTGATGTCTAAGGAGGAAACAAGATTCATGGGGACAGCTGCTTCTGCAGCAGTGGATGAGGCAAGCTGTGTGCTCTTTTGGCACAACAAGATGTGAAATGACTGGAATTGAGGAGAGATGAATTGCTATCCCTGACGCTATTGTAATTCCTTCCACCTTTGGCAGTATGGCCAGGTGATTTTTAGAGGACAGGGACCATCTGAAGGGAGATGGAGGAGCAGAAACTAACCAGTGTCTCCACCCTTGGTTGAGTGGCTGCAAAAAAATACCTACTTTGCTCAAAACACAAAGCTGTGACTTGGCAAATTTTGCGTGCTCTTTGCAAAAAATAACATCTTGCCCGGTAGAACGTACAGGAGCTTCTCAGTCTGTGAAAGGTAACTAAGGAGTAATCCATCCCCCCCTTCAGGCAAAATGGGATTGGCCACCTTAAACTGGTGGTTGAAGTATTTTGAGGTGCTCCCAGTGATAGGCCAGGGATTTGAAGTGGGCAGGTGATCCCTGTCACCTGCAGTACCGCAGAGCTGTAGACCTCTGCCTGACCAGTCAAGTTGTTCTTAAAGCTTTACTCTGGTGCTGATGGTCCTTAAAGACCACATCTGCTCATATCATAAACCTTTGTTCTTCCCCTATCTCCACAGGATCTCCACAGTAAGTAACTTTCCTTTGCATGGAAAGTTTCAAAATCCATTGTGAGTATTTCAGAAGGCTACAAATGAACACAACAGAAACTTCCTAGATATGTCATTATTGCTGCAATTGATGCACATATATTACAGCACTGATGTCTATGATTGCCACTTTGTTTTGGTCATAATCCTTTGCTCTCTTTTGTTCCTTATTCTCCAGTTCATGATACCTAACACATTTGATCAAGTCAGCTTTTAGACAATGACAAATTCATTGGATGTTGGGACTAGGCAGCTGCTGTTGGTGTCCCTGGTATGTGCACACACTGCTCCTTATGTTAGTCACCGGGTTCCATACAATTAATATCAAGGAGAGATTTTAGTTGAGGTCAAGAGAGGGAAACCCCAGTCCAGAAGGATGACAAAAGAGCCACTGCTCCTGCTAGGCATGGAGAGGAAAACCTTTCAACAAGCTTTTATCCCAGGACTTCAGAGTATGGGGTTCTAATGTGTATAATATATATGTAACAATAGTAAATGTGCTTTTAATTTCCCTGTTTAAAGTGCTGGTGAAAAGCAGCCATAGGATAGAAAGAGAGGCAATGACAAAATTAAAACAGTGCAGTTAGCCTGCCATAGTGTCACTACATTATTGACACAGTTACACAGAAAGGTATGGATTGTGTTTATTCAGCAGCACTCAAAATATTCCTAAGTTAAAGCATCCCATGGAAGGCAATGGAAAGAAGTTTTCAGAAAGGAGTAAGTGAGCTGGTTTAACTTTTTGCCAGGAAAAGACCATTTTCTTTCTGTCCCTTTGGCCAGCTTCTCAGCTGACAAACCACCATTGTCTTCGATGCAGTGACACTGATCTATACCAGCTTTTCAGCTAATGGATAGTTCACAGGCCACTTCTGGTTTTTGTCAAGTGTAGTCAAGATTTGTAAGTATTTTCATCTTCTTTTTTTTTTTCTTTTTTTCTTTTTTTACTTTTTCCCAACTCTTTTACTTGATGGCCTATCAGCTCACTGATCTGCTAGTTTAAATGGTATGAGCAAGAGGAGCAAGAGTAATTTGCATCCTATAAATGAAATTAAGGGGTGATTAATGTAAAAGGACTAAAACAAGCAGAAAGCTTTCAAGATCAAAAGCTGTTTTCTGAGCACCAGCATGTAACAAGTGGCACCACTCCACGTTCAGGACAGAAACAAAGGCAGTGCTTTCAGTGGGTCATTTTTTCATGGTTATTATTTATTTATTTTCGCTATTCATTCAGCTCAAGGCTGAGCACGGACTGAGAAAGGAATTTAGGTTTACAGCCACCATCCCAACATCAGCAAAACTATAAATAGTGTCCAGTCTTTTATCCTTTGAACACCCCGAAGATCCTTGTACGTCTGCGGAAGTGTTAAGCATGCCAAAGGAGCCCTGAGTGGGGCCTTTGATGAATAGGCTTCCTTGTGCCTGTGATTACACAGGTAGATGGTGACAAGGCAGACAGTGTCCAGTCCTAACAGCAGTCTTCGTGTTTGGGAGATGATTCTTGCAAAACCTCTGTTCTGCTCTGTCTGATCCTTCTGTTCTCCTCCTAGGTAGGCTGGATGGGAATAAAAGTGCATCCTATTCTTTTCTGGCTTCAGCAAGGAGGCAAGCATGACACAGACTGAAATGGGCATTTTCTCTCTGGACCAGTGGTTAGCAGTGAGCACGCTGCCAACAAGACTGAGTGAGGCCTGGAGGCTGTTCACCTGTTGTCTCCCCCTTCCAGCTCCTGGCATATGGCTATGCTTTGAAACCACAGAAGCACTATAAAAATTTAGTATTTTTTCTAATTACACAAAGCGATATATCATCTGCATTTGGCCTGTTTGAGCTTTTCTGTTCAAACCAAATACAATGCTAGGTGTTAACTTGGTAGTTTTTTCCACATTGGTAGCATTTCATGGAAATGTGAAAATGAAAGGTGTTCAGCAATAAACTACTGTCTCTTTCCTTATTAAAATTGTCAGGATAGTAAATCAAGTTTTTAATGGCTAGCAAAAAAAATTAGTTCATTTAAGAAACCAAGGGAATGTCTTTTGTGGCACCTCTAAAAATATCACCTGGTACCAGTTAGCTTGGAGACACACACATGTGACAAAGTTTATAGAGAAAATGATGATGCACACTTCAACTTGGAACATAGGGCCTCAAAACACACACTTCATATTTTCAAGTGGCTTCATGTGTGATGTGATCTGTGGCAAGAAAGATAACCATTATCCTTATCATCTAGTCAGTACTTTGAGTTTCATAAATGCCATCACAAGTATCTGATTGATTTTTTTTAAAAATCTAAATATATGAAATTTTGATTTTTAGGTACACTGAATGATGAGGACCACATAAAAACCACAACTGAATTTGCAGGATAAATTATGGTGTATAATTAAAGAATAATGGATAAGTGAAATAGAAGAATAAAATCTTTGCCTTTGAGGTGATTGATTGATCCTGCAGTTCTGACGCCACCTGAAGTGAGGTTTAAAGGAATTTTGCCACAGGGAGGCTAGAGGCAATGAAAGTTTGTGCCTAGTAGCCTTTTTGACTTTTTCTCTTTCTTCTGTGGAGGATCAATCTGTCAAACTAAAAGAAAAATAGACTTCCTGTCCATTACATATACAAGTCCTTGAATTATCTTTAGCATTGCCTTTTCACTGAACTGTGAGACAACTTAATTTGAAATTACTCTTTTTGGAAATCCTAAACCTTTGACACATTTCATTAGGCACAAAATTATTACAGTTATCAGTTAATTTGTTTGAAGACTTGGTAAACACTTGTTACAAAGAGTTTTAGAGACATCTAGTAGTTAGCAGAAAAGGGAAGCTGTCTCCAATCCTTAGTTTATTTACTTAGCACTTATTAAGCACCACTTCTGTATCTACCCAAAAAAGAAATATTTTAAGCAAACCGTAAAAGTAGGCTTGACCCTTTCACAGGCACATCATAAATCAATTGTTAAAGCAAGGGTGAAAACTCTGAAAGAGGTCAGAGGTGGAAGAGAGGTCATCTCTGAGAAGGGACAGTGTGAAAATCCATGAGGGGTGGAGCTTAGCCAGAGATAAAGGCTGGAAAAAAAGAAATTCTAGCAGTAGCAAGGTTCTTACACCATGAAAATGCCAATGAAATCATAGCTATTAGAGTGCTGAGATTATTCACAAATAATTTCTAAACCTGCAGCTCAGGCTTCCAGATCAATGATGCCAGCTCCTCTGCCTAGTGTCAGGGGCATTTTTTTAAGCGGAGCATTTACTTTTAGTCATACATAAAGTCAGTACAACACTTCTGTTTCTCAAAAATTTTGCCATTTCTTTAGCTAGACTTTGCTTGACTTAGCTGACACCAGGTCAGAGAGGTTTACCTCAATGACATGACAAAACCTGTGGGCAAACTTTGATAAGTTGGGAGCAAGCCCTGCATGTTTGCTGCTATTCCCTGAGAAAGCAAGGAAGTCTGTGTATGTTTGACTTCAGTGTTTTTGCCTTCCTGTGTTAAACTACCAGTGCACTGCTATGTTTAGGACTGAGACTCCAGACAGACTTAAGAAAAACTGTATAGTGGCATGAGATGGAAATTACTCTCTGAATATATTTGGAATAGTGAAAATAAAGCACTACCAACCACACTAATTTGCCACTTTGTCAACTGTGGTTTCATCTCATCTTCAGTCAAAAGGCATTAAATCGTGCAACTTTAAGATTTTTTCAGTTTTTTACCAGCCTCACAGTTGTTAGTTTGCTGGGTTTTTGGGGGGGTTTTGTTTTGTTTTGTTTTTAATGCAGGTTTTAGCTGAAATGCAGAATTTCAATGAAGAGCTCTATTTAAGCATTTGTTTCACTCAATAGACTAAAGTTTAAATTCCCAACAATTAAAGTTATTCAGATTTAAATGGGAAGATTTCCTGATTGTTTTGTAACTGCACAATTTATAAGTCATAATGACATTCCTTCACATTGTCCAGAAAAAAACAAAGGCTGATTTATTTCCTAACAACAAAGGCAAATGGTGAGGCTGTATGAAACTGCTTCCTTATTTTCAATGGGTCAGTGCCAGGCTGTTAGGTATCATTGAACCCCTCCTCCCATCTATGGCTTTTCCCTGAAGCAAAGTCCTCGGAAACATTAGTGATCTGTGGAGCACCCCACGTACTGAGTGCCACTGGACACCCAGATACAGTGCACAGTCTGGTACCTGCACAGTCTGTCGCCAGAGACCTGCTTGGTATTCATTGTCAGCACTGATTGCACTGGGCTTACTGAAACACGGCAGAATGCATTCATCTGGCTAATGTATATACCTTCATTGATGCTGCATTGTGATGTAAACAATGTCCTGTTCCTTCCTTATAGTAACCTAATTGACAGCCAGGCATTTTGAGTGCTCCAAAGGCCTATTGTTGTGGTGAATGCCGTAACAATAGGATTTCATATAGGTTGGGGCTTAGGAAGAGTACAATGTCCTTTTCCTGATATAAAACCAAGAATTGTGTACTGGATGAGAGTGGGATAATGGGTTCATCATGGAATTAAGGTTTTAGCTTTGTTGGGAATCGGCCACTTATTTTTATAGATACACTTGTTTAAAATCTTCCCCTTGAATTAAATGCATATATTGTCTCTGTAGCTGTATTTTTCAAAACCCGTATCTATTACTCCCCTGACTCACACGATGTGAAGCTTTAAACTACGCTTACTGCTATGTCCTGTCAGCCAGTGGTGAATCCCCTGCTGACTTCTGCAGCAATCAGAAGCAAAGGCAACAGATATCACACCCTTCATCTGAAGAACAATTTTATGATGATATTGCTAGCAGCTCAGCCCAGAATGTGGGAGTTTTAGGCACAGGGGTTATTTCAACCCCTTAATTATGAGTGCTTTCTATTCTTTGCCTCCCCCTGGAGTCAGAATCTCTTTCTCTTCTGTCTTGCATATTGAGATACTGCCAGTCACAGGCTCTGTTTGAAGGTCTGGCCCTCAGCCTCTGGGATTGTGAGAAAATACTGAAAAAGAAAGTTGATAAAGACCTGATATTTGGAAGGATCTCAGCTAAATAATATGATCTTTGCTGGTTACAGCCTTCTGGTAATGAGGCATTGCAGTGCCTTCTGATAATTAAACTTCAATTTGTTTCCTTCATGGCCACACATTTCATGGGGACAGATGAAACAAGAAGAGGTGGCTGAGAAAACGTTTTCAAAATCCAGAACGAACACAAATCAAAGTGGTCAAGGGGCTGTCATTTGTGCTGCTTCAAAGAGTTTGCTCTGACACACTAGCTGGTACTGAACAGATATTTGACCCACCTGATTCTTCTAGCTGAATTCTCAAAAGAGCAGTTTGAAAGCCTCCCTTCCTCATGAGGGTGTTTAGTCTCCATAATTGAGAGGATTTTCTTGAATAGCCCAGGGTTTTTGCCCCTATAGAAGCCACACTTAAAGAGTGCTGAACATTCAAAGACTCACCTGAAATCAGTCAATCATTTTGATACTCTCCTGAGTAAGATAATTTTTTTGCTTCTGATAAATATTATTTAGTCTGAGATTCTCAAAACTGCTGAAGCAGCTTAGGCATGCTTTTCCTACTGTAGATGAATGGGTCCTGTGTTTTCAGACAGAAATTCAACAGCATGTGGAAATCCAGTATCTAGAATGAAAAGGGACAACAGCTTAATCCTATACACATGGATTCTGGCAGCAGTAAAAGCCCACAACTCCTGCTTTGCTGGGTAAAAACAGACGTAGAATATATATGAAGTCTGTACCTTCAAGTACATGGAAGTAAATCAAGCCCAGATATTGAGATCTTTCTCTGTCTCCTATGTATGTGTTCAGGCATGTGTTTGAATGTTCTTTTCCAAAACACAACATGTTTAACATCAAATTTTTCCCACGCATACATCCATATGGTCAAAATTAATCTTCACATTGATTATTTTAATTGGTTGAATATGTTTTAAGAGGTTGGGAAGAGTGGGATTTGCAATATTTTCCTGCTCCCCTCTTTGGCCTACTAGTAAGTCTTCAAATGCAAGCACCTTCCTCTCATACTCTCTTTCCTGGGATTCCTGAAACACATTCAAATAGCTTCGCAGAAATGTTTAGCCATCTCAGTTGCAGCTGGACTGTTGTGATGACGGCAGCTGCTAGGTGAAGGATGGACAAGCTCTTCTTGGTGTCATTGCCAAGTGCATAAGGACAAGCTATCTGCAGATGTTGAAACTTGATTTGGGTGGAAGAGTAATTTCCTATTAGTATTATTACTGGGGATGGGCAGGTTCACATTGCCTGAATGGGCTCAGACCCAGTGGGCTTGAGAATTCACTAAAAATGCACGTTATTTATTTTGTGTACCTCTGGGAAAGGAGCAAAACCAACCCATTTTTTGTCAGAAAAAGAAACAAAAGCTCTAGTGAAAAGATATAATCCAGGGTGGAGAACCTAATTCAGTGAAAGAGAAAACCATAAATAAACCCAGGCCATAGTATATCAGCCTCTTAAATCTGACTTTTTATAAGTACAGCAGGGATTTAAAGTCAGGAATTGGCATCCTACAGCCCACCTGTTATTAAAAAGCAAACTTTTATTTTTTTAAAAGAGGAGGAGAGGAGAGGAGAGGAGAGGAGAGGAGAG